GCTACCACTGTTACTTGTAAGTGCACTCCCACTGCTGCCTCGTGCATCATCTCTAACCGGGACAAGAATTTTGTCCAGGTCCAGGTTGAAAGCAGCTCAGGTGTACCTTGCACGTCGCAAGCCGCGAGCACCCGAGTCAGAGTGACAAGGTTTATAGTCCCCCTTAAGTAGATAGAATATGGCTTTGGGTATATTATAATAAGATCCCTATATACCCCATATTCTATCTACTTAAGGGGGACTATAGCCACACAAATCAAAGCTGCTCACTCCAAAGAGCGGGCACCATAATTTGCCGGGGATGTACTGCTTGGCAGAACACGTTCCACGGCGTCCTCTTGGGCTGCATGAGGCCCACCAGACCACCCCAAAAGGTATGCTAGACGAAGCTTGAAAAGGCTGCAACATGCTGCCATTTAGCAGTGAAAGGAGTCATTCACACTGGAACAAATACGACCTAAATCATCATAAGATGAACTCGGGCAGTCCCTCCTTGATTCGCATCCCCTTGGTTGCGAGCAGTTTCCAGGCAGCACGTCGCATTCGCTGCAGCGGCGACACGCGCCGCACGAGGCGCACCTCGAGTCTGGGGGCTGGATGGGGCTGGGAACCCAAGCTGAGGCCATCAAAATTTCTGGATCTGGCGTTTGGGTCTGCCTTGAGGAGATCAAGTCATTTTGCGCTGACGTGAAGCCACTTCTTGCCAAGCTGGGCGCTGTACTGCGGTACATGTTGTGATATCGGTGAGCTAGCGAGGCTCTGGCACAAAGCTCGGGCAGATTGGCATGCGCCGCAAAGCCGTAAGACAGTACAGGAGCCTCGCAGGAAATGGTTCTTATACCGCACAATCAAGTGGGAATAGTCCATACCCAACAGGAACTGAAAACCAGCACCGCCTGCGATGACAGCTCAAACTGCAAGCCTGGACCATCCCAAGACTTTTCAGGCACTCTGTTGTCACAAATGGCGCAAAGCTGCAGGCAAAAGCATGTCCACAGCACCAGACTAGCAAAGAGGTCTTGAGCATACTTGAGCCACACACTTCAGGCCCCAGGCCTGACTTTGGGCGAATGCAGCTTGTCAGATCGTTTGCTTCGTCCACTTTCAGCCGAGCTCGCTTGGCACGTTGCAAGAAGGCCTCACAGGCAGGCCCGATCAGGTGCCCATGTCTTGCAAACCATTTGCAGCAGGTCGGCCCGGAGCATGAACATGCCCTGCGCGTCGCGATTCTGACCTCAGACAGGTGGAGCCAAGGCTGACAGCTGCATGAGGATGCTTAGACACCCAGACGCTTGTAAAGAAGCCGCATGCCGCATGCCGCATTTCAATTTACAGCCAAGAATCTCTGAAGCTGGTTGCAGTACACGCGAGCCAGCTCGCATTCCAGAGGATCTTCTATCCGAGCCTGTACACGATCCAGATCGCTTCAACAATTCTGCAAACTGGGATGGCAGTCCTACGCTCCCCGGCCCCTTGCAAGGTGCCTCTCCGAGGATCTGGTTTACGACCTTCTGAGTAAGGCCACCCTCACATTCCTCCTGCGGGCGCTACACAGCTTCTGCATGCCTCTCAATGCAGAACTCTTGGAGCAGCGGATGGGCCGTTGAAGTCGATTTGAGTCCTTGTCTATCTCATATGGAGCGCGCAGTTTCGCGCTGAGCTCCTGACACACACAATGTAAACGTACCGTATTTTGCGTACGTGCAAGCTGCAAATCTGCATAAACAAACTGGCCGAGGCAGAGCGGCCCTCCTCTGGGGAAACCTTCTGCAGAAAGACGTAGAAAGTCGTGGAGTGGCCAAACAGGACGCAGTCCTGTATTTAATGAGAGCACCTTTCTTGGAGTACTTGCGTTGTCCGCTTACAGGGTCAGAGGCAAGCACCAGGTGGTGCAACTCCACTGGGTCCAAGGAGAGCTTCTCGCCGTTCACCTGACCGACAGCTTTAACCCGTTTTGCTTGTTTGGGCTTGTTCTCCTAGTCAAACATGAATCGCGAGGCAGATGAGAAAACATTGCATCTGCGGCATGAGAGACTGCAGCAAGCATTTGGAAGCACCTATCCCCCCGAAAGGACACAGCAAGGCCATCTTTCAGTTCTTCTGGGAAGCTGCTTTGCAAGGCCGAGGAGTCTAAGGATCGGGACCTCTTGCGGTCAAGATTCCATTCCAGAGTTCTTCAGTCTCCCTCTCTGCACTACCGCATGCAAGCATCAAGCTCAAATGCCTATGCAACCATGGTTTGCTTCAAAACCTTCCCGTAACATGGAGCATGGTTCACTTCATGAAGCCGTCCTCAAATCATTGGTCCCCATATTGCGAACTCACACCTTCTCCCCCAACACCGCCACTCGAAAAAGAAAAACCTTAACCCCCGAGATCCGCAACCATAGGCTGCCAGGATTCTGCCACAGTGAGAACGGCGGGAAAGACTGCACAACAAGGGCGGAGATCAGAGTAGCAAGCAAGAAGCCTCGATGCTCGCTGGCCGGTCCCGGATGCCTCATGGCACAAAAGGTTTTGGAGGCTTCCACTTGTGCAGGAATTGCCTTGGAATGCGTGGCGCCGCAAGGGAAGACGCACGCATATTCACGATTACAGGGTCTTTCGCAAAATTCTGGACCTCTTTGGTTCTCATACAGCTATGTGAGATATACAAATATACATACATAAATATATACAGATAAATAGAAGATGTCTAGAAATGTACAAATGTAATTAGATGTCGCAGCCTGGTGTGGCATGCCTGTGCCGAGAATGTCTTGCACGCCCATGCATGGAAAGCTTTTCCGCGAAAGTACTTGTCGCAAGGCAGACTGTGTATCGTGAAGAGGCTGCCCAAGTCTGTTACAATCCCAGAGCCTTGTGATTCGCAGTTACATCTACATTTTGCAGGAACGCCTTTCTGGGACTGGCGCATCAACATGCAAGGCATGCAAGACACCTCATGAGCAGGCTGGCTTGCTCCACCACGCGGTGTAATTACATGCCTGCCCCCTGAAGTGTTTGTCATCGGGGCAGTTTGAAGCCGGGATGCTGTGGGGAAGCGGTGCTGGTCGAAGCAGCAAACAGCCTGCTTGCATAAGGCAGTCTACTAGAGGAGATTTCATGACAGGCACCAAAAGATACCTTGCCAGCGGCCTCCTTCGTTCCGGATGTAGCCAGTCACGTCACACACCTGCAGAAAGCTCGACGATGCCAAGACAGAAAGTACATGGACTGCTTTTTCCCCAAGCCATGCAGCCAAGAAACTCCGAGACTTGGCGGCAGTCGGAAGTTGCAGCCCATACCTCACAGCGGTTCACAGTGGCAATCACATGGCGATGTGAACGTTGGTTGTGATGTGGTCGTCGTGCCTGAGCCCAGGGAGTGCTCCTCTCCGTCTGCGGCCACCTGCACTAACTGAAGCCAAGCGATGTGATAGACATTGTTTTGCCAGCTATTGACAGATCCTCTCTGGCCAAGCATGCATGGAATAGAGAAGCCAGGCAATCTAATGACTCTTATAGTAGTTTCCATTTTTTTCCATTATCCCTATATACCCCCATATAACCCTAAACCCCTGGACCCTAAACCCTAAGCCCAAGCCTGGTGCTTCTGCAGGCCACGTTCATGCAAATCAGAGAGCAAATGGCCGACAGCTCGACAGGCAAAGTTGACTCGCTTCTGCAGTGCTTGGGCTCCGGGCGTGCATGACGAGTCTGAAGGCTAAGTGCGGGTCCTGGGGGTGATGCTGGATGAGCATGATACCCCTATTCCATATCATTCCATCAGATATCTTTTCCAGTGTCCTCTGAGTAGTTCGCAAGGTACGGCAGGGGACAGTCACCCACCTGGCTTGACCTTGCAGCATCAAAAGATGCTGTGCAAGGCTAGGCATGATGGAATGGCCACACACGCCATGTCACTACGCGGTTGCTCGCTTAAAGCCACATGCAACAAACACGCTTCCTCTGACTGCGGTGCTGGTACCTATGCAGACGCTTGTCTTGACGCAAGGCAACTGCAGCGCAAATCATTCCTTTCCAAAGTACTAATTGATCATTTTCTGGATAATGCGTAGTGGCGTAGTGTTTGCCCTCCCTCGCTCAGGCTACTACAAGTATGTCTCTAGGGCTTTGGCGAATATGCCATGAGGCTCTCCATGGTCCTTGTTCGCTTTTTGCTGAGTTCGACACTCTCCTGCCAACATGACTGCTGCAGCTGCAGCACATGAGCTAAACATTTCTGCTTCGCCCAGGCTGATTCGAAGAAAAGTGAGGCCTGCTGGAAGTGTGTCCAATCTCGCCTTAGCATGGGTTTGCGAAGCCTCTGTACCTCCTGCATCCTCTCCTCACAGCACAAGATATGCACAAGCTGCTGCCTAGCCGCGTCTGGGCTGCAACGATGGCAGTTGTAGCTTCCAGCTGCACGCTGATAGCACTAATGTCCTGTGTGTCACCACTCAACCAGAACAGCATCAACGGCAGCAGCTCTGCGCAATTTGAATCAAAAGTATCCTCATCATCGTGCTTTTCGCGAGCCTGGCGCCCGGCAGCGAGACGTCTGCATCCCAAACCGTCTCTGAAGGAGCTCTCAGTGCACCTGCTCAAGCTGCAGCTTTAGCTGCTGGACCTCCTTCTGCAGCTGCTTGACGAGACTGTCCTTTCTAATGTCAGGGTTCTCAGATGTAACACACACATGACCCCTCAGCACTGTGCTCAGGAGCAGGGTGCTCGCAGCTGGTCTTCCGCAGCAAGGCAACAACGATGCACCAAGAACGTTGCAAGTTCAAGGGACTCCGCACTTTTGCCCGCTGAGAGTGTTTGCCTTTGCGCCCCAAGGACCGGTCCTCGGCATCTTGCTGACTTTGTTTGCTGCCTACCTATAAATATATATATATATACATATATATATGTATATTCTATAGTATAATACAGTACTGTCCATTTTCCCATTATCCCAATAGAACCCCAATGATATAACCCTAATTTTGCCACTGGGGCATGTTCGAGGCAGGGAGCTCAAGCCTGTCCACGGTCGGTTCGCCCAAGGTCCACTTTGCTCTTCAGCGGGTTCCTTAAATTCACCCAAGCGCGGTTGCGGCTATGTTAGGGTTATATTATTGGGGTTGATATTGGAACAATGGAAAGAAAATGGAAACTGCTATATTATATTATATAATATATACTATAGGTAAGCTTGCTTAGATCAACGCAAGCCCTTTGCCTTCTCTGAGGATGCCAAGGTGCCAATACTCGTGTAGCGCGCCACGCATTGCGCTGAGCACTTCCATCTGGAGTGCAAGCAAGCACCCGATTCAATGAGCATATGTTCGATCTTGTGGCACCTACAGCCCTATACTTGGTGTGTGCTCTCCGAACTGGCGCCATTGATGAAATGACATGTTGTTGGGAGGCCGATGCTGGCTCCTTTGACAATTTGATCCCCAAGCAGTTCCACACTATGAACGCATAGCTGGCAGACAGTAAAGACAGAAATCCCGGCCCAGCCTCCGAAGGCGTCAGCTCAAAGTCCATTAGGTTCCTTTGCATCCAAATGCTTGCAAGGTAGGGCTTCCCTCAGAAAAATCCCAAACAAGGAGACCTCCCTTTCAAGGAAGAGGATCTACAATGCGAGACAGTTGGATTCAAGCAATGAGAATGCCTACGCTGGATGCCTGCAGGATTGGTGGCCGTGCAGCTGAGTGACATGTTCTCCTGCAGACGCTCTTGACGAACACTCCTTGGCAGCACTTTTGTTTCTGAGCATACGTTGAACGCCTACCTTGCTTGCCCAGGTACTTTGGTATTACTTGGAAGTCCATCTGCAGGCCCCACCGCAGCAGCACTTGAGCTGCCGTCTTGCCTTCCACTTCGCTCAGTTGCAAAATTTTGCTGCGAAAGGTTCCATCTCTAATCATCTTGAGGCTTTGCCCTCAAAATCTGCTCATCCAAGCGGCTAGGATGGGCCGCCAGCACGCTTGCAACCTCCTTCCTGTGAAGCACAGCTCTGGGACCGGCTGGCTTTGGCAAACTTCTCATGAAGCTCTCCTTGCCAACTGCTCCTGCTGCCCAGAGAAAATTGATCCATAGGCCGTAATCTTGATGCCGTGGGCAGCACAAAACCTCGTCGCTGCATTCAAGCGCTTGTAGGTGAGAGCACGCCACGATTGGCTGTAGTCATGCTATGCAAAAGCAATCTGCCAGTAACAAGAGTTAGCAGCTAGCAATTAGCACAAGTGACTCCACCACCAGCTTCCGGTCTTGGTAGATCATTGGGTGCATCTCCTCGGTTTTGAGAAGGTCCCAACATTGCATTGTCAAAATCTTCCTGCCATCTTGGCGAAGCACATCCTTGCTGGAACTCCCTCCTGAAACGCTGCAGCCCGGTGACAATCTGATTCACTACGGGCATCTGTCGCCCAGAATCCCGTAGTGCTTCTAGGTGCGGTACCCCGAAGTTCCTCCAGTGCTCAGCATCTCTCAGCATAGGAGATACTGTTGGAACACCAACCATCGGGATGCGGTGGAGGCGCGACACGCCGATGGACTTCACCAGGCCGCGTCGCTGGAGCTCTATCATTGCATCCCAGGTTTCCACCAGCTTCCCAGTATTTGGAGAATGGATCCTGAAATTACAAAAGTCTACATGGCCTCCTTTCACTTCACGGAATCTTCGGCCAAGCTGCAGGTACAGGTCAATGTACCCAGTTCCTGGGTGAGTGAACACATTCATCACGAATTGGAAAGCTTCCACTCTTCGAGTCAACCATCCAGGCATTGTCCCAAGAAGCCCAAGGTCCAAGCTGCCAAGTCTCCAAGCTGTTGGACGCTCTGGCCGCAAGCCTTCAACGTCTGCTCGTATCCTTGCAAGAGTCTTGCAAGTCAAAGGGCTGGCCATGCCTATGAACGGAAAAAAGTAAGAGCCAAATCCTCTGAAGTCCTCTACATGCTCAGCACCAACTATGTTCCGGCGACCCGCATACAGTGCAGGAGGTGAAATCGTTCAGGCGCTGCGTACGGCGTGATGCCCGGCCAACACTAGAATTGGGGAACCTCCCAGGCCCAGAACAGAAATGATGGGGCAGGGTCGTCGGCGGCGCCGTGGTTCAGTCTCATAAGCATACGCAGTGGAAACAAAAACAAGTTGTACGGGTGCGTGACCAACCCAGAACGGGTGGGGTCTTCCCAGCAATCTGATCTGGACAGAAACCCCGGGAAATCTGAGGGTCCGTCCGTGATCACCTGAGCCAGAGGTACGTACGTTTCGGGCCACATTGTCCAAACATGCTCAGTCTCAGGCTGTCCCAAAGTTTGGTTGTGACCCAGACATCTTCTCGTGGAATCCCCGAGTCCCGGATGGCCTCAACTGCTTGATCATGCACGCTACGCACCCATCAAGCGAATGAAGAGTATGGAAAAGGTCAATGGTCACCTTTACTAACTGTTAGTATCTTTACAACTAGTGTTACTAGTATTCTTGCTATTACGATGACTATTACTATTGGTACTATTTTTCTTTACTATTATTAGTACGTAAGTATCCTCCTGAGGAGATTGCCTCTCCCACGCTCTTCTCGTTGCGGTACAGCGCCGCCGTATCTACCAAACGGTATCCTGCGTGCAGGACCACCAGGTTTGGTATATCTCTATATGAGCTATAGTCTAAATTCATAGTATCCCCCTTAATAACCCCGAAAAAAAACTCCTTGTATAATCTCTGAAATACCGCCCTTTTAAGGAGTTTGAACTATGGCTCATATATCCCCTATAGATTGAACCCCCGGTATACTCGTATATGAGTGCTATAAACCCATTACAGGTGCTGCCAAGCTGCCCAATTCCAATGCCCACTTGACGGCATTATAAGTCTCTGGGCCTGGCTTTGACCTGACTTTTTGGTGCATGATTGGATGCCATTTGCCAGCGATAACTGTCCAACAAAAACGTTATGTAGAAGGGCCCATGTCAGCTTTCCACTTTCGACATTGCAGGAAGAAACTTCTACAGCCAAAACTCGCATCCCTGATGCCAGGCCTGTACACACCGAGGCCGAATCTGGGCATCATGCGCCCATCCAACAAACGTAATGGTTCCGACAGCGGTCCCAGCGCCATGGCAAAGAGTAAGCCTGCCTTGGAGCTAAGGTACATGAGCTGGCCACACAACCCCAAAAGAACATCCATCCGTGCACCTGCTTGTGAAGATGCTGCTACTTTATAGGGTTGTGATGCGTTTTTAGCTCTTGTTCACATGCTGAAGGTTTTCACACTGAGCCGAAAATCAGCCAGCACGAGCATGGCCTCTGACCTATGCTAGTCTTCGCTTATACCATGGCGACACAGCAACAAGCAGGGTCCTTGTCCACCGCTATTGCTGCTTTGGCCTGCACCTTGATCGTCTTCACCGTGGAAGCAAACCTCCAAAAGCTGTCACAATGAAACTATAGGAGTTTCCGTTTTATTTTTCGTTCTTTCAAAATAACCCCAGGGTTCAAGGGCATGCCTCAGGGTGTTGTGGCTCTCCTCGAAGTGGGCTGCCTTGTCACGCTTGGGGCTCACGTGTTAACTTTGCCGCCACAACTACCAAGTTCAGCGGAAGCACAGCCGGGCTCAGAGTTCCGATCATGGAAGTTCTAGAGTTTCCCGACAAGGCATTCGACAGAAGCCTGGGCAGAGATCAGACGTCTGTCCCGTTATGAGTTGGTCTTGTGCTCGGCAACACCTGCAACTTGGGCCCTGCACAGTGTCAATTTGGAGTTGCGAAACCTGAGTTTCCCAGCAGCTTTTAAAACAATTAGAACACGAGCCCAGGTACTCACAACGTTGGCAGCCGCTAGCAGCAATTATGTTGATAATGGCCATCGGGTAGAGATTCTGGCTGGGACTACAGAAAGAACTTGATAATAGTACGTACCACCGAACGCTGGCGATAGTAGCAAACAGGAGCAACTACAGGAATGATTGTAAATGATGGGAGTGGTCAGGAATAACCACATTCCTTAGTAGCCGGTTTAGCTATTGCTGAAGCAGTGGTAACATCAGTGGAGAAATCACAGTCCAAAGTAAGGCAACAGAGAAGGAAGCCGAGAAAGGTAGCCGTAATTACACGGGATGAACCATGACAACGAGCATAATGATGATGAAGACAGTAGTGCGAAGAACAGAAGAGAAGGATAGCGTCTAGCTGGCACACAGCAAGGCAGAAAAGGGCGAGTCATCAATTCTTGCTGTTTGTCAAGAAATATCGCTCTTCCGTGATCATGTTGTCGGTTGCTGGCCGAGGTGCTTTGACATGTCCGCACCCTTTGGCTTCCTGGGCAGAGGGGCTGAAACAAGCAAACCAACCTCAAGATTTGAAAGTGCCGCAGGCATTTGCCTCTGATGTCATGCGAGGCTGCATCAGACTCCATAAGTCGCACAAGTCAACGAGCCTACTCACAAGGATGCTCCCTTTTGAAGGACCAGCTTGAAGGACTGCTGAATTCTAAAAGCTCTTCTTGCCGCCAGGACACGACAGGGCATCTGGACCAGCGACCGTTTGTCGTCGACGGTGGGCTGCACGGGCGAATGAATGCAATTGTTGCAGAATTTCCATCAAATCTCCTCAAAATCGCAAAGTCGCAAGTCTTGGGCCTGCCTGGCTGTCCCAGGCTCTGTATGCAGCCAGACAGGTAAAGCAGACCTTGCAGCCGCAACAGAAAACGCAGGAGCCATGACGAGGATTCATCCTTTAAGCACATTCAAGACTTGGAGCAGAACTCTTGTTGATGAAGCTTAGCTCCACAAACCTCTCGCCAGTTACCTGCATGCTGATCCCACTTTTGCAAATAACCTGGTTTTTGCTCTGCGGGTTTTGCAGTACGTCAGTGCCAGACACCTACCTGTGTTGTCTTCTCGTTCTCGCGCCCAGCCAAGTCGGCAAAGCAAACCTGTGGGCCAATGAAAGCTTGGATTAGTAATAGCAAGAGCGGTGAATTTGCTGGCCTCCGACGTGGTGGAAAGGTTGTCTTTGCCACCCTGGTGCCGAGTCTGCTTTCAGCCAGAAGTCCACGCCGACCACTTTTTTTGGCGAAAGGTGTGGCTTTCCCTTTTTGGTGTGTCTGCTTTTTGGTATGGGTCTCAGAGGAACCAGAGCTACACCAGGACAGAGCCACACCTTTACAAAAAATGATAAGGTTCACGTTCACAACCCAAAAAAACACAGTTCTGAAGCACTGCAGTAAATACATATTTACCTTATTCTGGAATAGTAGTTTCCATTTAGTTTTCCAGTATCCCTATATAATCCCTGTATAACCCCTGGCTCCCCTTGCCTCTCTCACCATGTTCAACTTGAACACAGTGTGCCCGCGCGAGCTCTGCGCGTTCATGGCTGTAGCCTGCACAGCCTGGCAAGTGGAACCCAAAATAGGGGATGTGTATATTGGGATTATATATAGGGATAATGATGGAAACCACTATAATATATTGGGGTTATATTAGGGGTATAATAGGGTAGTATTGGGGCAACGGAAAGTAAACTGGAAGCTACTATAATGGGGTTACACAGGGTTTTGGGTTTTGGGTTTGCAAAGCACCGCAGAGAAGCGCAGTAGCAGTGACAGCATCATGAAGCCATGCTTGCTCCATCTAAGTCAAACTGCTCACACAACAGTTGACTGGCACACGCGTTCCACGATTCGCTTGGAGGACATGGAATTTGCAGGGTAAGTATGGCAACCCTAACTGGCACTCCAGCTTGAGCTTTCACGGAGGCCCACAACCGATCACACACATGCATTGGCAGCACAGCCTTCATGGCGTTCCCATACTCAATCCTGAAGCCATGCGCTTTTCTTCCATGACTTGCCCTTCCATGAGTTCCCCTACAGCCAAGCAATGCCTCCCGGTCAGGTTTCATTAGTGTCGTCTTGTCTAAGTTTCAAGCGTGTCCAGAATTCAGCAGTCTGTGAAACTCTGTGGGTCTGGTGCTGCCAAGCATCGTTTTGATGCACTCAGCTGCGGTTTTGACCTTGCAGGCCGGAACCATCTAAAAATATACGGGACTTCCCACGAGCCACGAAAAACAAAAGAGTGGCTGCAAAATCTGATATTCAACCATGGAGTTTGATGTAGGACCTGTACACTGAGCTTAGGCTGTTCAGCGAATGGAGGCGTTGCATAACAGCTGTCACAGAACGTCACCATCAAAACGAAGAACAGCTTGGATCTTGCGAGGCAAGTGCCGGCGCTTCGATGGCACCAGTGAGGTAAACACCCAGCTCCTGCAATTTCAGCCACGACCCTCATGGTCAAGGATAGAAGAGCACCAAAGAATGGCAATTTAACATATGCGATCTGTTCTGAATGCTACAACTGGTGACTGTGAAAATCAGTCCGGATGCACGTGGATGTTGATCTTCTTCGGGGCGCTCTTCTTTTCGCCAGGTCCGAAGTCCGAAGTGGCCAGCAAGTCTTTCAGCCTCAACGCAAGGTGTGCAACCACTACTCACCAAGGCCAACGAGATTGGTTCAGTAAGTAATTGATTGATTGACTGATTGATTGATTGGCTGAAGCTTGTGAACGTCGGTCTGCCTGTCACAGTGATATATGCAAAAAAATAATTAGGTTGAGGAGCAGCAACGTCTGGAGCAGAGGAAGCGGCAGCAGCGGATGCTGTAGTATAACAGGGGGAATAAATGCTGGTTGTTTTTTGGAAGTCTTAGTGGTACGAGAAGAGCATTGGTTGAAACAGCCGACTGATCTCAGCTTCAGACTTCTCATTGTAGACTTCCAACATCTGCATGACCACGTGCACCTGGGACCCTGAGGTCGACTGCTCCTTGTCCACCTGACATTTGGTGGATTGAATCGGAAGATGCTGAGAGGGTTCGGGGGGAGGCAAAGCAGGGGTTAAGTTCTTTAACTAAGGGGGCTTGGCCAGCGGCTTTTCTGCTTGTAGACAAGCAGAAATCCAGGCAGGTTCAGCAGTGAGCATGTGGCAGGACATCATGCTCAACTGAAAGCCCAGCTTGATGAAATTAGCATGCTGGTGCATTGAGTTCCTAAGAATATCTCCCATTATGAGTGGGAATGTTGGAGCTGCAGTTTCAGCAGGAGATGAACGCCAAAACGGCAGAGCTTGCTCTGCATGCACAGGTTGGGCGGAATAACAGGCTCATGGGAACAGGAGGAGGTCTTCCAACAGGGGATCTCCTGTAAGACCGCACCACGGAAGAAGTACTTCTGTTAATACCGTAAATCCTGCATCATCTTTGTGTATTCTTATTGCCACAAATCTCAGGTTTGGGTACTCGGGCCTCGTCGAAGACATCGTCCACAAGCCCTGGGCAGCGCGTGGTGACTGGTTCAAAGCTGGCGCGCTTGACGGTTAGGTGGGCTTGCGCATGCTTCAGAACCCAAAGCACCAAATCTCAAGGCCCACTCTCCAAAGTACCGCAATACAAAACCTTCGATACTTCTGAATGCTCTCTTTTTTCGATGCCGAGGGTCTCATGAGAAGACCGCGCTCCGATTTTGGCTGGGCCTGGCATGCCAGTCCTACACAAGAAAGTCGTGAGATGTGGACATACTCTAGACTTATCGGCCCAAAACACAGAGAAGCATACGTATAAGACTCCGGAACGTCTCAAAACTTGAACGTTTGCTGCACAACCGGTCACTTTCAGCTACCTGTCATTTCATCGGTTCAAGGGCCTTGCCCATAATGGTTGTGGTCTTTCCCGTCCCCGTCTGGCCATAGCAGAAGAGGCAGGAGTTGAAGCCCTGCACGTGGCGGCGTGGAGCCAAGCAAAAATGGGAGGGCAGTGTCAGCATGCAGAACAAACACCTGCAGCATGTGGTCCACCATGCGACGGCCCATGATCTCATAGCACTTCTCCTGCCAGCACGATCTTCTTTTAGTGGCATACCAGTCCGTTTGTGACTTCAGCAACATGATGTGCATCATTAATCCGCAGCTTTCGTCATGAGAAGCTGAATGAGAGATACAGTTGATGCATACCCCCATGCCAAGGTGGCCCGTCAGCCTGTGAAACGAAGGAGGGACTGCTCTCGTCCGTGCTGTCCATGGCCACCTGGAAAAAGTAAAGTGCAGGCGAGCCCGAAATGATTCTCCGAGATGAAGTCTACACTGCGGGCATCAAAGGCGAAGGTCGACTTCCGGTCAAAGTCTGATGTGACTGCGACCTTTGCACAAGAGTTTTGGGCAAGGCACAGACGATGCTCTGTCTCGCCTTTCGGTCGGTGTCGATGGCTTCCTCCACGATGGAGACCTGGTTTCCCTGCAGCGATCTTGCAGTCAGGAAGCTGAGAATTGCAGGCTGGCGGACATCAAGCCGCATGCAGAAACAACACGGCTGGGCTGGTCATCGGCTGACGGCCTCGATCCTCAGGCATTTCTCCTGGCCTAGGTTGCACATGCATGCATTTCAGTTCTGTAGACACATTCCCTCTGTAGCTGAGCAAGTTCATGGCGATCAAGGCTTCTGCCGATTTCGTGGTTGACGAGTGGCCGAAGCCGCATGCCAACCTCAGCGGTCAATCTCAAAGTCGTGTGGCCCTGAACATTTCGCGTAGTGCAACCCATTAGCTGGCAGGCTATGCTGTTCTGTTGAGGCTCTACGCCATGTGGTCCAAAAACCATAAGAGGCCAAGACCAACCTGCTCAACTCATCTTGGCCACAGGCCCATATCGGCTCAACCATTTGCCCAAGCACCTGTTTGTCAAAAACAGCACAATTCATGGCTCACGGAACCAGCATTTGAAGCCACATTCCCTGATGCAAAGCTGCGCACCTTGACGGTTCAGCCCGTCCAGGTCATGGCAAGAGCAGACGAGCAACTGCAGCATACATGCGGAGGCTATGCAGGTCTCCAAGCGTGGCTGTGTGTGTGTGGGCGAGAGAAGTGGAGAAAGGATTACCCGTTTATGCTCATGACTTTCCACCTCATTACGGGGGCGTGCCGTGCTTCTACACATGGTGTCGGAGAGTCATATTGGTGTGCGCTGGAAAAATCGGAGTGACTCCACAATGATAAGTTATGCGTTCATGAAACGCCCACGTGTTGCTGAATGCACGGACTTCAGATTGCACTTTTCAACATCGGCCTCATCATGGCAGTATCAAGATGCAACCCTGAGCCAAGAGGATGATGATGGCGATGTTACGCAATTCCAACAACTTCCGTTTGCGTAAAGCATCCAAGAAATCATCCGGAATGAGAGTTCTGCGTATTCCAAATCAGCTTCGTCTGGATGCTGGGTGCTAGCAGGGGGCTACAGGTGCTTCTACTGCGCCCAGTGTTATGCAGGGATTGAAAAGGGGTGTGTGCCAGGGTCAATTCTCTCGATGCATCATGCGGACGATGTTAGGAGTATGTCAATACTGTACTATCTACACACCCTCATACAGGTACTAGATGCATACGCTTGTGTACAAGTACGACAGGGATTTTGTCGGGAGCAGATACCAGAAGATACCAGAAGTGGTAGTTTCCCATAATAGGGGGACCCCAATGTAGACCCCAAAAGACTATAGTTCTTATTATAGGGACCCTAAACCCTAAAACCTAAACCCTAAACCCAGGGTACCCTTAATCTTGGGAGACCCCCAAACTCATGTTTTCTTCGTGCACTGAGTCCCGAACCGAGGCCCAGCACAGAGCCGAGCTCAGCGCACTCTGCGCCGGGCCGAGGCCCTTGCCTCCACTGCGACCAGGCGGGAGCCAAAACAACAGGTCCCTATAATGAAGAATACTAATAATTCTAACAATAACACTACTAATAATACTAAGAGTCATAATGTTCATATATTAAGAACAATATTCGCGTTGATAATTGTAACAATGGGATCCCTATCTTTGGATGTCACCAGCGGGTCCTGTTTCGGAAATGCCACTGTTGAGCGGGAACACTGATTGAGCTTTCAGTTGCCGCGACATGCCGCGACAGCTTGTGAAGGGATGGCTGTCATGGTCCGACGGTCCCATGGATTATTGAAGACACCCCTGTCTTTCGTCACAAGGCTGAGATCGGAACCCTTGTTTTGTCCTGGGCAGGCGCCAAAGGTCAAGCGACAAGTCTCGAAGAATAGCCCATGCGATCTAGACGTGTCTGTCCAACCAGCGCAACAACGAAAGGCAGCTCACACCTTGCATCTCTGATGGTTCTGAAGTCCGGGCGCAACAGCACAGGAAGCTTCTGGAGGGCTTGCAGGATCTCCGGCTGGCTGCGCTCCTGCAAGCTGTAAGATGAAGTGCAGCTTTTAAGGGCTTTATCTCTGCCAGGCCTGGGCTTTCACCACCGCGGCTAGCTCCTCGGAGATGTCCTCGTCACCAAGGCTTCGACCTCAGAGCAATGCATGTGTCCAAGACACCAGTCGAAGCGCACGCCTGCTAGGGGCGGTGCCCAGCACGGCAACCTCGGCAACAATCCGGCTTTGGCACTCTTCTGCAGGTGCCTTTTAAACTCAAAATCAGGTGCTTGAGGCAAGCACATCGCGCAGATCGCCGTGGAAGTAGAAGTGGGGGTTGCCCTCCAACGGCCATGTCTTCGGGAGTTTGTTGCTTTGCATGAAGACGCGACACCACAGGTTTTCTCGGCACTGTAAAATCCAGAAGTTCTGGACACAGCCGTCCATTCCGTTGCTCTAGATTGCCTTCTCACAAGCACCGGTCACAATTCCCAGTCACAACTCCTAGTCCTGCCAGCAGCACCATCATCATGACTGTCACTGCCACTGCTTCTCACATATCTTCTATCATACGCATTGAGACTTACCTCCCTGGAAAGTTCCACCACTGTAAATGCTTTAATCCGCAAGATCCCACCTCTGATCTGCCTGCCCCAAGTCCTCGGCGAACGGCGTGTCAAAAGAAGCCCAGCCGATCAGAACTGCGTGATGTAGCCAACCAATTAAGATACACCAGAAAATCCTAGGTACACACGAATGCGGATACATTCGTATGTCATCCTTCCACCTTCAAGCTACAAGTACATTGAGACTGATGATGGTCACACAAGATCCGGGCGTAGTGGCTGCTTCGTGTTCGAGGCGAAGTCCACCCAGCCTTCGCGCTTGGGGCAGAGCTCAAATACATGGGTAGTCGATTGGGCTTTGGAAGCAGGGTCAAATTCAATGACACAAGATAATGTCTCAGATGCCTGGTGCATGTTCATTAGGTCGCTGAACCAATGCGCGAGCCTTCCCTATTGTGTTTGCATAGTGTACTCACCTATAATAGTGCGAAAACGTCTTGCGAGCAATTACATCTGTCGCCCACCCGGTTATGGTGCGGCAACATCCTGATCCCACGATGTTCATCTGAGAGCCAGGCTCTGGGAAGCAACCAATCGGCGATCGATGTAGAATCGGGCCTGCGAAATTGTGTGGCCGGCGATTCTAAGTGGACTTCAGCACATCTTATGTAGTCCAGCCTCCTTTTTCTTCACGTCCACTGTCCCACGCAGCTGCGTCCTGATATGCTGCATAAATTTAAGCGTCACACTTCCGCACAGTGGGAGGATGCAACAGGCGGGCGGAGGGATGCAAAGGGCAGCGCCACTTGCCCAGTTCCACGTTGGAGCCATACAGCCTGCATCACCGCGGACTATGTAGTTTCATGCAAGCATGCCGAATACAACCTTGATGACTGCTGCAACCGCAAGGCAGTTTGAACTCTTCCACTGCAAGCTGGCATCCTCAAGTTTGCAACTTAGGGTCCAGACTTCTCCCATCGCTTGGACGTGCCGACCTTGCAAGAGGTGCGAAACAGCCTAGCTGCTTCATTAGTGCGGAGTACCGGTGCAGATTTTTGTCAAGGTCGGACGCTGTTGTTGCCCTGTGCGGAGCCTGTACAAGCTGGCAGGCTGTCTTTACGCTGCACAACCAGCCTTCGCCAGCTGGTTGACAGTGACCTCACGCAGGGCCCACAGTGGAGCTGCTGCTGTGCATTCAGGCAGCCATCACCTCGCATCGCGAGCGAGCGGGTGAGGTTGTCCTGGTTCTTCCAACCGCTTCATCTGTGTCCCCATCAGACTCGTCAATCTCCAAGAAAGTATTGTGCACTACCAAGCCGCAGCTTGACACCGGGTCAAGCTGACTCCACAAGGGGGCGGGGAGCCTCGCCTCCCGACAGAAGCGCGGCTGCGCACCCTCCGTAACTCTTGGCGCGGCTGTTCCGCCGTTGGCACGACGGTATGCACTCTTCTGCAGAGTGAAAGCCTCCTGAAAGCGATCCCTGACCCTGCACCAGTCCGACCGCGCCATCACGCACTGATATGGCAGAAGATCTTGGCCATCCAATGATTGGTAAGTGCATGCTGGCTCGCCTAGCCTCTCCAAGAATAGGCCGAGATACTCTGAGAAAGAGAAGCACCTACTGCCAGACATTGAGGGATGGTAACGGACCCATGTAGAAAGCCCGAAATCCTGGCCACGATCGATCTTTGTGGTGTGTTTTGCTTCATGGGTTGCATCAGGGAGTAGAAGCCGGCCATGCTTGAAGCTTGTGATCGTAAGGACCACATACATTGCTTGATCCTGAAACCGTTCCATCTGGATTCCAGGCCGGTTCAGATACCAAAGCGCAGTTGACCTGAAGAGATCAAGCGCCAAGTGGACGTGCGGAGCTTCCCAGTTCCTGTAGTGGAAGCCTTCGGGGATTGCCAGTATCACGCACACAGAATATTTCCCATCTTTGTCAGGGCGGCTGTGCGTGAGACGCTGCATGGGCTTGAAGCAGTCGAACATGGCCAGAGAGCAGTCGCCTTTCTCCGGGTAATTGCGCCGGAGGCTTGCGTGGCCCAGCTTCCACTGGCCCAGCTGTCGGCCACACCCAAACAGCACATCCCACAGAGGCATCATTTTCCAGTCTACCCACCAGTGCAGCGTGCAGTTTCCAGGGGCCACCACACACAAATCTTGGATGGATTCGCCGCTTAACTCAGGCTGAACCTGCCAACTCCAAGCACGGGTCTCCGGGCGACACAGAACATAGGCTGGATCATCCGGAGGGTCGATGAGAAGGAGGTCCCAAAATGAAGCTTTCACTAAGCTGCCGCCCCAGGGGCAGGAGCAGTGCAAGACTGCAGAAGACGGAGTCTGCTGGACGGTCTGCCAACCATTTTGAGAAAGCAAATGTGGCACTAAGTAGCACCATTCCTCGATGCTCTCAGGCCGGGTCAACATGCTCTGATGCGAGACCTGGACTTTCTATCTCAAATCTCGCCTATACAACACTTGAGCCAAGATTGCCTTCATCTCTGACAATGATGTAGAATGCTACCACCGGCTAAACCTACTCTGCACTGGCATCTCTGCAGGTACCACGCAGGACTAGTCTGCAAGAGGCATAGGCAAGCATCTTCTTGCTGTCTAGGCGCCCAGAAGGACCACACACCCTCGGGCTCCACGTAGAAAGCGTAGCCGGCCTTAGCTTAAAACCCGTTCAGAGACGCTTGGCACACTGCATGCTGCACCGCAAGAGGGCTTGGACTGTCAGGAGTGCACTGCTGCTTTTCTGGCAGAACGCTTCGACGCTTTCTCCATCAAACATGACAGATGGCAGACTTTGAGCGGTGAAGCAGCAGCTAGACAACTAGAGATTTAAAAAACTAGGCTATCACTGCCACACTTAACAGCCCGGCAGCGAAGTGTGAGACTGAAATTGTGTGATGCAAAAAAACAGAAGCACTTATGCAGGCAGTGTGCTGGGTCGGCTCGATGGGGCATGCGAGGCCTCATGCTAGAAGTTATGGCTCAAGCTCGCGCACAGCTCCAGTGAGCGCTTCGCGCCCCACAGCTGTGGCAAAACTTCGTCCTCGCAGGTGGCTCGGCCCCAGGACGCAAAGCACCACACTCCTTGTTTAAGGATCATGCAATGATTGGAAATCCTATTGCTGGTGGAATGTGACTAGGACGGGTTGAGCAGGGAGCAGGCCAGTGGTTCAAAGCAACAGGCAAGCGGATGAACGGCAAAAGCCTGCAGCTGGCTGCGGGGCCCGTCTCTTAGATTCAGATAGCTCTGCACATGCCCTTCCAGTGAAGAATGAGGTCCATCAAAACCCGTCAGGGTGCGGATCACGCGGTGGGAATTTCCCAAATGTCGTGCTGTACTGATCTCCATGGTGGCGCAGCAACTGCAAGAACGGGCTCAAATTGACGCCAAGCTTCGTGGCAGAACTTCGCCGTGGAAAGAAAACGCGTGCCACAGTCAGAACAGAAGTTGGCAGCTTTGCTTTGAGGTCCTCGCCATGCGAATCATGGTGGCTCCATCATACAAAAAAATGATTCAGGGAAATCATTGCGGGCTGGGAATCACCGGACACGTCATTACTGGCGGATGCTGTTCTGGTACTCGTGGAGCATTTTGTATCTTGCCATGCTCTTGCTTTTCTCAGCGCGCTGTTGGCTTTTACTGAGAAAGGGGTGTTCGTTGAGTCCCTGGCATGTTTGGTAAGGGCAATTGTCCTACAAGTAGAATGTTTTGGCACCGGCACCGTGTGCGACGGTTTGCTCACGAGTCTCATGGTTCACCTCTGGCTGAAGAAAAAACACTCACAAATCCCAGCCCACTGTTCTGGCTTCACTGACTGTCTAGCTCGCGGTAAATGGAGATGTGGCGGGTACTGTTTGCACCAGATAAAGGAACACAGATCCCAAATTTGCGGTGATGCGTCAACTGCGAAAGGCCTCAGGTTTCAAAGGACATGAGTATGCAGACTCCTGCGTGAAATTTTCTCAACACGGTAAAGCAAAAGACGTATAATTTGAAAGGCAGAACAAGGCTTTCATAGAACGTCATGGGAAAAGTGCAGTCGACTTGCTGCTCTTGGATGCACGTCCTGCAGCAGAGGCCCTCGGCGTCGGAACTTTGGGCGGCGTGCCTGAAGAGACACATGGCATCATTGAAGCAGCAAGACGACAGACAGCCACACGGCCGTGTAATGTCCAGGTCCCTTAAATGTGGGTGAAAATACCATTTCCTGGGCCAGGATGTTTGTTTAAACAACGGGTTTGCAATTTATTGTTGGGAGCTGGAGGTGTCCAAAATAAAGTGGTACTTGATGTTACTTATATCCTTGCATGCGCACACGTGGCATAAAACACCCTGTCCTACTCACGCTCCTCATGTGACTCATCCTCCTCTTCTCCTTCCCTCACCCTGACTGCCAGTGCTACTCCTACTTCAAAGGCAAGAGCCATCTCCGGGAGGCACTGTAATCATCACGACTGCGACATCTTGATTTGCTTAGATAGAGATCCATCCGGATCCGACCCTGGCGCGGGGTGCTCCCAAAAGCTCCAACATTAATCAACCTCCTGTCGCAGAAGAGTCTGCCAGAGGAAAGGGGGTTCACTTGTGACTTCTCCCGGGGTTCACTTGTGACTTCTCGAGAGGAGGCTCACTTGTGACTTCTCTCGGGGTT